ATATGTGTCTAGCATGCGTACGTACTCATTAACTTGACGCTCGTACACGCATACGCACACATGCACGCCACGCGCATAAGCACAAGCGCGCACGCACGCACACACACACACCACACACACACACACACACACACACACACACACACACACACACACACACACACACACACAACACACACACACACACACACACACACACACACACACACACACACACACACACACACAAACACACATAAACACACACACAAACATACACACACACAAAAAAAAACTGATCCACTTCCTCACGCTTCCACTTGCGTAACACGGAGTCCGAAGCTCCAAAAATACACTACACAGGAGGACGCAGCTGCCCTATTGGATTAGATTAATATGGGGCTGTCAAATCTCGGAATAGGGGAATTATGTGGAAATAGGGGAAGTTCTTGGCTCCGGCTAAAGGAAATTTGATTGTCACTTAGCGCCGACCAAGCTGGCTCGCCCGTGTGAATAATGGAAGGAGAGAGAGAGAAGAGAGAGGAGAGAGAGAGAGAGAGAGAGAGAGAGAGAGAGAGAGAGAGAGAGAGAGAGAGAGAGAGAGAGAGAGAGAGAGAGAGAGAGAGACCTGCATCACGACCCAAGACCCGGGAAAGTGACGCTGCTCTTCAAATATTGCAATTGTGAGGTTTTCTTTTTCTTTCTTTCTTTCTTTTCTTTTTTTTCTTTTATTTGTATTACTATGGAGAGTGAAGATTTGAGAGATCGACGATGGTAGATTTGAATATGGAAAATGCAGAGAGAGAGAGAGATAGAGAGAAAATAGGAAAATAAAAGGAGGAGAGAGAGACAGAGACAGGCGAGAGAGAGAGGGAAAAGAATGAGAGAGGAGAGACAGAAATAAACAGGCAGAGACACCGACGCAGACAGAGAAAGACACAGAGAGAGAGAGAACAAAGGGCAGGGAGAAATTCAGATAGAAAGCCAGCGAGGAGGCAGTGCATAGCAGCGTTAAGTGGGCACCGCCGTGTGAGCGAGGGAAGAAAGGGGAAAGGGAGGGAAACATCAGACGAGCGGCATCTTTCATCCTCAAGGCTTCCGGTCGGGTCGAGTCGGTCATTTCCCGTCTCGGAGTCTTGGCGTGTTTATATTTCTTAGGTGCCACTTCCTCCTCCTCTCCTTTCTCTCGCTCTCTCCTCCTGTCCCTTTCTCTCTCTCTCCTCCTTCTTTGCTTTCTCTTACTTCTCTCTTGACTTTCTTTCCTTCTCTCTCTCTCTCTCTCTCTCTCTCTCTCTCTCTCTCTCTCTCTCTCTCTCTCTCTCTCTCTCTCTCTCTCTCTCTCTCTCTCCTCTCTCTCTCTCTCTCCCTCCTCTCCTCCCTCCCTCCCTCCCTCCCTCCCTCCCTCCCTCCTCCCTCCCTCCTTTTCCACATTTGTACACTAAACGTATTCATGCTAAGAACAATATACATGTGCTCCGTATGTTCCATTGTATGGTTTTTTTCTCTCTCTTTTTTGCTCTTTTTTACACAATACACGTATGGCTTTGGCTTATTTATTTTGCTATAAATAGGTAGATCGATGAAGGAGAAAAACAGAAAAAAAGTAAGAGCAAGTGAAAGTGAAGGAGGGAGGGAGAGAGAGAAATAGGTAGATAGGTACGGAGTGAGAAAGAAAATGAGAAAGGTAGAGAGAGAGAGAGAGAGAGAGAGAGAGAGAGAGAGAGAGAGAGAGAGAGAGAGAGAGAGAGGAGAGAGAGAGAGAGAGAGAGAGAGAGAGAGAGAGAGAGAGAGGCACAGAGGGGGTGGAGATTCACAGAGACAGGAAGATAGAGCTATATTAGGCAAAGTGATAAAAAAAAAAAAGGCGTGTGCACACATACACGTTACACAGAAGGCATGTACATCAGCTTTAGGACTTACAGGATAAGCCAGAACAGACCAAGCCACACCACACAATACACTGGGGCTTAGTCCTTCTACGCTCAGTGCTGAGGAGGGGTAAGGGGGGGGGCGTTGATCCTGCAGCTGCTAGAAGTGCGAGTCCCTTGTGCTTTCGTCCAGACCGTGACCAGCGATTCAATCAGGCTCGTAGAGGCTTGTTATAGGCCTACTCGCACCCCGTAAATGAACTAAGATTCCCTATAGTTAGCCGGAGTAAGAGGAGGTAAAGAAAGAGTGTGAATTTGTCTTTTTGTGTGTGTGTGTGTGTGTGTTTGTGCGTGTGTGTGTTTGTGTGTGTTTGCGCGTTTGTGTGTATGTGTGTGTGTGTTTGAGCGTGTGCGTGCGTGTGTGTGTGTCTGTGTGTGAGGGGGTGGGAGTGAGACCAGGTGAGGGATGGGCAAGGGGAAGGGGGGGGGGTACACAAGCCCGATTTACATTTCCTGTAGCGTCGCATTGGATAAAAATGCAAGCCAGGATGAGTCAGACCGCAGGGCCGTCCAGGTGGGTCAGTCCAAGGCAATACAAGTTCAGTTTATCAGGAATTACTGTGCTCTGCATTTCCCTATATGGTCGCACTTTATCACAGTTGCTGCTTGTTTAATGTTGATTCCCAATAATCACGCTTTTCCTGGAAATTCGACGTGCAAATCTAATTCGCAGCATCATCCTTTCAAAAAGGCTGATAACCTGGGGCTTAATGACACCTCGTACAAGGAGACGTGTCAGATTACCCCCGTCAGAATCTGTGTCCAATAAACAAACAGAGGCTTGGAGGAGGAGGAGGAGGAGGAGGAAGCGGCCGTGTAAGGACAGTCGTTTAGGCAGTTTTTATGGCGCGGACCTTCCTTGCCGCCTCGAGATCCCGCTGCATTCAAACGCTGAGAACTCTCGAGGCTCTGGCAGGAGGGGCCGGACCGGTTTCTTACTCGGTCTCAATACAAAGTGGGAAGACGCCACAAAAGAGCTGTGTTGGGTCTCCGCTGTGCCGGTGGGAGCTGCATTATGTCGTGGGCACGTCAGCACCACGACCACCGGCAGTGGGGGACGCCTGTGGGACCCGACGGAGGTGGTGCCCGTCGGGGGTGGGAATGTCGGTGTCGGGTCTGCACAATCCCACCCCCTCAGCACATACAACTCTGTCCACACACACACACACACACACACACACACACACACCACACACACACACACACACACACACACACACACAACACACACACACACACACACACACACACACACAACACACACACCACACACACAACACACAACAACACATATAATACGTATATACGTACACAAAGCACGCCTACACGCCCGGGGTTGTGAATGCAGCTCAGCACACACAGCCTTGGCGCCACCACTCTATTAAGGACATTAAGGTTATAAGAAGACCATAAGATATACCTCCGTCGCTTGAAGGAAAATAATGTGGGCGCCATTTCCTCTCGAGGCATATCCCGGGCTGAAGAAAAACGTGGGGTTCGCTCGAGCGCACTAGGCACTAGGAGGGCGGGTGGGCCAGGCGGGTGACGGAAGGCCTCGAGTGACGATGTTTTTGCTGAAGATGAAGTTATCGCCTAGAAACGCCTGATGACGTTATACTCATACGAATCTCCGGAATCGTTAAACTCCGATTGGGGAAATAATTAACCTAGTCAATGCCTAAAGCCGAGCAACTCGCAAAGTCATGGAAATTAAAATCCGCCGTTACGCAGCCACATTAGCAACTATAACCTCGCTGTGTTAATTCATTTCAAATGGGAAATGGTAAAGCTTCCGGTTAATTTTAAAAAAGAGGAATGTACGTTTATGAATTTTATTTTGCTCTCGCTTTCTCTCATTCTCTCTCTACTCTTTCTCTCTCTCTCTCTCTCTCTTTCTCTTTTTTCTCTCTCTCTTTCTTTCTTCTCTCTCTCTCTCTTTTCTTTCTCTCTCTCTCTCTCTCTCTCTCTCTCTCTCTCTCTCTCTCTCTCTCTCTCTCTCTCTTCTCTCTCTCTCTCTCTCTCTCTCTTCTCTCTCTCTCCTCTCTCTCTTCTCTCTCTCTTCTCTTCTCTCTCTCTCTCTTCTCTCTCTCTCTCTCTCTCTCTCTCTCTCTCTCTCTCTCTCTCTCTCTCTCTCTCTCTCTCTCTCTCTCTCTCTCTCTCATACACGTATGTGTAAACGGAAATATCTAAGGCTTCCGAGCGCTCTGCTGATGGCGAGGCGTGACACGCTGTCATGGAAGTCAACCTCTGCAAAGAAAGTTTCGGGTCGTAATAGGGGCGTGGCTTGGATTTCGGCATCACGTGATTATTTTCCATGCGCGTTTATCAATTCAGAGTTTGTTTTGATTCGTGTATGAGTCTGTTTGCTTGGATGGTTAACAATGGGCAAGAGTGTGTAAACTGTATAGGGACCGTGAATCGACTGATTATTAATGTGTTTATAAACTGTTTTAGGCCGTGTTTTGACATCTTATTAACCTTACAGGCACAAGACGGTGGCGCGCGTGATGCCAGCGCGGGAGGGCGAGGTCGTCGTTGAGGGCACCTTCAGAGGCATCCCTGACCCCGACTTCCGTTTGGTGTTGACCTCCAGCTTGACCCCTGCTGACCAGCGGCGAGGTTACCATATGACCGGGTCACTCGAGAGAGGAGACCGGAAGACGGGGCTCTGGCAGACGACCCACCTCGCTGTTACCAAACGCTCCGGCTTCTCCTGAAGGTGGAACGTCCGCCTCCTCTTCCCGGTGTTCCGTCACTGGCGGCCCTTCACTTCCGCCCGCGCCCACGCCCCAAATATTCCCCAGCTCTGACGGGGGATCGGCTCGGATCTCGCCCTCACCTGGGGCAAGACTGAGGACCACAAGTCAACCTGCAGGACGAAGCTGAACTCATCGGCAGAGCTACACGAGGTCTTTCAGAAGACTTCGCTCTTGTAGGCTCGCTGTTGCTTTGAGTGTGTTTGACTTACCTCGTGAGATTGGCAATATCCTCATGATAATACTCTTGATATAATGATGGATATGTTGAATGAGCACTTACTCCTAATTGCTCCGTCTGTCGTCTGGAGAAACGCCAGTGACAGACGCAAGCAAA